GAGCACCTCCTTGGTCAGAGCGTAGCAGCTCAGCAGTCCACCGATGTAACCACCCACCACTCGGCTGACCTCCACCGAGCTTGAGATGCCGGCGAAGGAGCTGCTGAGACTTCGGGTGATCCACTTCCGCCCCGCTTCAAACTCCTCTTTAAGTCCAGCAGCCCAGAGGGTGGACATCGAGGTGACGATGGTGTAGCCGGAGTTGCGGCCAAAGAGGCCGTAGCTGCCCCGGCGGTAGTCGAGCTCGCCGTGGCCCCAGCTCCGCCGGGCGTAGGCGGCCCAGGCCTCGCGGATCATCGACCGGACCACCTCTCGTCGTTGGGTGTTCGGGTTTGCTGAAGACAAATGTCTTGGTGGTGATGGGGGTGATGCTTTGGGGTGATTGAAGGGGACTGCTGAAGGTTCAGAGGCGGTGCTGGTGGTGGTGGTGGTGGTGGGGGTGATCTGTTTATCGTTAGGAGAGTTCAAAAATAGCTCGACGGGTGTTTGCTGTGGTGAGTTATCTGCTGAAGAGTTATCTGTGAGGAAAATGGATTTGGGTTGGGCTGTTATCACTGCTGCTGCTGTTGCTGCTGCTGATGTTGTTGTTGTTGTTAAGTTGATTGGATTTTGAGAAGTAGGAGGTTGAAAAGGTGAGCTTGGATTGTCTGCCCCACCAGCAGTTGAGACTTCGACAGCCGATTTAGGAGGAGTTCTTGGTCTTGAAGAGGAGGAGGAAAAGAAGTTGTTGTTGTTGTTGGTGCTGCTGTTGTGCCTTGAAGAGGAGGTCTTCTTCGTTGAGGTACAACAGCTGAGGCACATGTTTTTGGTTGTTCTTCGCGCGTTGTGTTTAGCGCCGCAGGTGGCGCCTTCGTCGAGGACGGTCTTTGTTGTGTTTGTTGACAAATGTTCGGAAACTGTACAACACACAAATCTCAAGTTGGTCGTACAACTGGAGCTTGCTGTTATAGCATAGCAAAACTTTTAGAACTTTTTGGTTGCTCAAGTTCTAACCACTCCTTTTGCCTGTTTCGAAAATGGCCAGGTAAGGTGACACAAAGCAGCGTTCACTTTTAAAAAGAAACGTCACTTATTCTTCTTTTTTTAGCAACACGTTCATCAGCAAACGTCTTCCCATTATCATCAGCTTTTCCAGCCATGACACACAAGTCCAACAAGGAGAAGGAGAAGAAGGACACAAAGAAGAGCAACAAGTCGAAGAAGCCGCACAGCAACGCCCCCAAGGGCGGAAAAACCAAACGGCAGAAGGTGGTGGTGACGACGACGGCGGTGGCCACGACGGCGGCGGATGAACCCAAGTCGAAGGCGACCACGAAGGTGGCCACGAAGGTGGCGAAGCACTCGAAGAAGCCTAAAACCAATGAGGGTAACAAGGGCAGCAAAGTTCACGGAGGCGGAACTCCCAAAAGCAAAGCCAAGGGCGGGAAGTGTCACAAGCACAACAAGGACGGCCACAAACCTCATCACCACCACCACAAAGACCACAAAACACATCAACATGGAACTCCCAAGCACAAAAAGGAGAAGAAGGACAAGAAGGACAAGGAGAAAGAGAAGGGCGGCGAGGTGGACATCGTCAAGGTGTCGCGGAAGATGAAGGCAAAAGACAAGGACAAGGAGACGAAGAAGAAGAGCAAAGCCGAGGACGAGGTCCCTGATATGGGCGAGCAGTCGGTGGAAGCCAAAGAGGCTAAAGAGGCGAAGAAGGTGGTCGAGAAGGCCAAGGTCGAAGGAGGAGGTGAACTCCCGAAGAAGAAGGTCGACGGAGCGGGCTTTGAGGAGCGGCCCATTGAGCCGGGAGGGCTGGCCGTCACCGAGGCCTCCTGCCGAGAGCCGTCTCCGGCGGAAGTTGGTGGTAAAACTCCCGCAGCCGTTCCAGCAAAGATGATCACCACAACTCCGCTAGACCTTAAACTTCCACAAAAGGAGCCGGTCAAAACCGAGGATGAGGAAGAGGAGGAGGAGGAGGAAAAGCTGAATGAGATCTCCGTAGAGGACGTGCCTGTGAAGAAGGAAACACCCCCGCCAACTCCTCCTCCTCCTCCTCCTGCATTTGCAATTCCTGCCACTGCGCCTCTTTTGGACACAGCAAAAACGACCTCCACCTCCCCTTCACCCTCACCACCGACCACTCCACTCATATCACCACAACTGTCACCTCAGGCGCCAAAGACCACCGTTCCGGCGGAGTTGGCTGTCAAGGGAACGCCCCTTCTGGGGGCCGTCGAGGGGAAGAAGGAGGCCTCGGTCAAGTGCTCCAACCGATCGGCCGAATCTTTCCAGTCGGTCGAAGGTGATGGTGAACCGCCAAAGAAAGAGGAAGTGCCAAAGTCAAAGGTCGAGGAGACCAAAAAGGATGAGACGGCTAAAAAGGAGGAACCGAAGAAGGAGCAGCCGAAGAAGGAGGAACCGAAGAAGGAGGAATTCAAAAAAGAAGAGCCGAAGAAGGAGGAACTGAAAAAAGAAGAGTTGAAAAAGGATGAACTGAAAAAAGAGGAACCAAAGAAGGAGGAGCCGAAGAAGGCTGAGGAGCCAAAGAAGGAGGAAGTTAAAAAGACGGAAGAGAAATCCAAAGAACCTTCTAAAAAGGAAGAGGCAAAGAAAACTCCCGAAAAGGTTCCAGAGTCTTCTAAAAAGGAGGAACCGTCTAAGAAGGCTGATGAGGCTGCAAAGAAGTCCAAAGTCGAGGAGGCAAAGCCGAAAGGCGAAGAGGTCAAAAAGAAAGAAGAGGGCGCTCAGAAGAAGGAGGCTCCTAAGGAGGGGGCGTCCAAAAAGGACGAACCATCTCCTAAGCCGAAGAGCAAAGCTGAGGAGAAGCCAAAGGCGGCCGCTGAACCAGGAGGCAAAAAGGAGGAGAAGAAGGAGGCGACTAGCAAGAAGGAGGATCCAGCGGCCAAGAAAGATGCTCCAAAGAAGGCGGAGCCGTCGAAGAAAGAGGCCGTTTCGAAGAAGGACGCTCCACCAGCTCCTCCTCCAACTGCAGCTAAAACTGCCGATGACAAAAAGCCTGCGGAAGCTGCTCAAGCGAAGAAGGTTGAAGAGCCTAAAAAGGATGCCGCGACAAAGAAAGAGGACGCTACTAGCAAAAAGGAACCTCCTCCAAAGGATGCAAAGAAAGAGGATGCAGGATCCAAAAAGGATCCACCGCCAAAGGATGAAAAGAAGAAGGAGGACCCCAGCAAGAAGGATCCACCCAAAGGTGATCCTGCAGCTTCTAAGAAAGATCCTCCTCCTAAGGATGCTGGAGCCAAGAAGGACCAACCTCCATCTTCAAAAGGAGGCAAAGACCCCCAGCCGGCGAAGAAGGCGCCGGAAACTTCCAAAAAGGAGGGCACTCCTGCGGTGGCGGCAGCAACGACAGCAGCAGGAGCAAAACCGGAAGCCACCAAAAAAGTGGAGCCTCCAAAGGACGTCGCCAAAAAACCGGAAGCAGCTGCTCCTCCACCAGCTAAAAAGGAAGAGGAAGCAAAGAAGGCGGCGGCGGCGGCGCCACCCGTTGATGCAGCCAAAAAGACGGAAGGCAAAGAAGCTTCAGTGGGTCCTGGAGGAGGTGGTCCTGGTGGCGCCAAAGAAGCCGCCAAAGAGGGTGAAAAGGAGGAAGAAGAGGAAGAGGGCGAAGAAGAAGGCGGTGAAGAGGAAGGTGATGCCCAGGGAGCAGATGGTGGTGAAGGAGGAGGTAAGGGATGAACTGCAGTTTAAAGTGCTCTGATCGGGTAAGTTGGATCGAAGAGTGGTGATAATTTCTGAACTAAGTTACTTTCTATTTCTTTCCCAGATCACTCTCCTCGTTTGGTATTCTTTTCCTCTTTTTATTATTATTATTATCACCCCACACACACACACTTTGGCACCAACACTTTATACATACACTTTTATACACACTGTTTTGTTCCAGTTTTGTTGTTTTCTGTTTTGCCCCTCTCCAAAACACAATTTTAGCTAACAGAAAACGGAGTGATTTTTTAACGTGAGTTGTTTGATTTGACGACGAAGAGAAAGGCCGTCACGATGTACATTAGAACCTAGAAATGAAGTTAACCTTTAGAGAAAGTAAGTTGAACTAAAATCAAAGAGAAGAGTTTTACCGTTGGAAAGGTTTTCTTGGTGATGACGTAGTCGCCCACTAGTTGAAAGGCAAACACTCGAAGGCGTTTGTGCAGTTGCATGGATTCAATCTAGGAAAAATAGGAGTTCAATCATTTTTCATTAACAAAGTTCTCTTACCTTCAACAGGAAAACTCCTCTCAACTCATCACTTGAACTCCTCAAGTAGCCAGCACCACCCCCACTACCGAAAATGACCGTCAGATAGAACTTCTTGTTTAACCGCTCAAAAGATGAGTTGAACTTTGCCACCCGGGCACACTGCTCGACCAGCACCAGGAGGAAGAGCTCCAGCTCGAGGGTGGTCAACAGGAAGAGGAGTGTCAGCGTGGGCGAAAGACTTCCGGCCTGGAAGAGGACAATGTACAGCATGTAACACTGGACGCAGATCAGGTAGGGAAGCGTGGTGGAAAGGTAGGGCTTGCAGTGGCGGGAGTACTCGGATATGAAGGTGCACAGTTGTAGGTACTTCCGGTTGAGACGGGTGAAGTCGAACATGGAAGTATTCTGCTGTTGTTTTCGATTTTGTTGGAGATTAAGAACGCTTTCATTTAGGGTGACCAAACGGGTAATTAGCGTCTTTTGTTGAGCCTGTATGACGACGCTGACGAGGAAGACGTAGGCGACTGGTCCGAAGGAGGCTAAAATTAGGGGAGAAAAAATATTGGTAAAATAATCATTTTATTAAAACGATCATTTTCAAATGATTTTTAAAACGTACTGTAGAGAATGTAGTAGATTTGCCAGGGAAAGGCCACCGTCCAGAAGAGCAGCGTCAGTGGGCGGAAGAAGGGCGTCACGCCCAGATAGTAGGCGTGGCTGACAAAACCAATGCTGCAGAGGGCCCAAAAGGCGACCATTGCCGGCACGAGGAGGTACTTGATGGCAAAGTAAACTTTGTGGATACTTTTAGACTCGATGGCAGTCAATTCTTTAGAATTAAAAGATTTAGATTAAAAGATTAAAATTTTTAAGTTTTTCAAAAACTCATCAGTATACTACTTCTTCTGTTGATCAGAATCTCTTTCTGCAGAGAGGCAGTGGGGTAGAAAACTGTATTTTTTAGGGCGTTTTCCCTCTTAAAACTGAGAATGGTAAAGATGATCAGCGAGACGACAATGTCCATGCCCAGGCCGGCGTCCAGCTGGGGCCAGGCAACTCGGGGCAGTATCTGGTGGGTGTAGAGGCGGTCACTTTCGAGCACTGCTTTTACACTGGTAATCGACTCAAAAGGAATGAAACCAAAAACGCCATAAAGTACGGTGTACAGCTGCAGGAGAATGGCAAAACCGGCGTGCAGACGGGCACTGCAGTAGACATCAAAAGATGAAAATGAGGGAGCGGTAGTGAACTTTTCATCCCCTTTTGTTGAATTTTCTAATTCTTTAGTCTCAAAAATTGGATTTAGTGACTGCTTTAGAAAGTGAATGTGGCCGGCCACTAGCTGACGAAGGGAAAGAGCCGGAACAGCGCAANGTAGTGAACTTTTCATCCCTTTTTGTTGAATTTTCTAATTCTTTAGTCTCAAAGATCGGATTTAGTGACTGCTTTAGAAAATGAATGTGGCCGGCCACTAGCTGACGAAGGGAAAGAGCCGGAACAGCGCAAGCTTGAAATACATTGCCCATAGCTTCTTTTATTTTATTTTTTTCGAGTGACCTTTACAAAACAACTGCAAATAAATAGCAACAGAAGAAAAAAATTTTAGCAAGCAGTAATTTCACTTTAAGTTAAACCACTTTGTTGGAGTAAAAATGGCAGAATGCACTAGACCAGAATAAATAAAAATTGGTTTAGAGAGAAAGTTACAAATTGGACTACAAAGGAAATGAAACACAATAAATTAAATGTAAGCGCGCACCATTTTTAATCTAAAGAAGAGTCACTGCTCTTGTTTTGACTTATTCGCTGCCATAAATTAAAAAGTTTTGTTGTTTTTAATATAAGTTGCTTGAAATTTAACCACTGCTAAACGTATTTTTAAAGGAATATTTTTTCATATTTAGGACATTTTGTAATTAATTGAAATGCGTAAACAATTGAGAAAAGAATNAAGGAAATGAAACACAATAAATTAAATGTAAGCGCGCACCATTTTTAATCTAAAGAAGAGTCACTGCTCTTGTTTTGACTTATTCGCTGCCATAAATTAAAAAGTTTTGTTGTTTTTAATATAAGTTGCTTGAAATTTAACCACTGCTAAACGTATTTTTAAAGGAATATTTTTTCATATTTAGGACATTTTGTAATTAATTGAAATGCGTAAACAATTGAGAAAAGAAAAAAACGTTAGATTAATAAAACTATCTCAAAACCATCAACAACTTTATTAATTACAAATGTACCTTTTATTTTCATATTGCAATTAGTATAAAACATTTTGAGCAAAAGCCAATTAATTTCCCAGAATACTTTTTGTTTTTATAACAAAGCTAACCCCAATCAATTAACAAACAAATTTTACTAACCAGAGTTTTTGTTTGATTTGATTACAAAAAGGAAAGCCGTCACAACGTATGCTAGAACCTAATTTCAAATGATTTGAAAAAAACTAAAAATTAAAAATGAGCGCATTTTTAAGTCTCGTTTTTACCGTTGGAAACGTTTTTTGTGTGATGACGTAGTTACCGACCATCTGAAAGGCAAACACCCGAAGACGCTTGTTCAGCTGCATCGACTGAGCCTACAAAAAAAGTTTAATTATGTTTTTTACAAACAAGCAATTACAAAACAGGTTCAAACCTTCATCAGAAAAAGTCCTTTCTTTTCTTGAGCTTTTTTATCAGTTTCATCTCCATCATTACCACCACCAAAGATGACCATCAGATAAAACCTCTTATTCAGCCGCTCAAATGCGCCATTTAGCTTTGCCACTCTGGCACACTGCTTGACCAGCACCAAGAGGAAAAGTTGCAGTTCGAGTGTTACGATGAGAAAGAGGAGCGTCAGCGTGGGCGAGAGACTTCTGGCCTGGAAGAGGACCATGTACAGCATGTAACACTGGACGCAAATGAGGTAGGGAATAGTCGTAGAGAGGAGGGGTTTGCAGTGGTGGGAGTACTCGGAGATAAAGGTGCACAGTTGCAGGTATTTCCGGTTGAGACGGGTGAACTCAAGCATGGAAATATTTTTCTGTTTTTGATTTTGTTGGTCATTGAGAACGCTCTCATTAAGGTTGACCAAACGGGTGATTAACGTCTTTTGTTGGGCCTGTATGACGGCGCTGACGAGGTAGACGTAGAAAACCGGTCCAAGCAATGCTGAAATTTTAAAGCAAGGATTTTAGAAATACAGTGAATTTGATGGCAAAAGTAAACAATAAAAAGTTGGCAGTTACTGTAGGCAATGTAGTAGTCCTGGGCGGGAAAGGCGACCGTCCAGAAGAGCAGCGTCAGTGGGCGGAAGAAGGCGTTCCCCTTTTGGTTGTAGTAGACATGGCCAGCGCAGCCGACGTTGCCAAAAGTGGCGGTGGCGAGCATGCCCGGCGTGAGGAGGTACTTGATCACCCAGTAGGCCTTTAGGATGCTTTGTGACTCAGCGGCGGTTAGTTCTAAATAATTGAAAAAATTCAAACAAAATATTTTAGTTTACACAAAACTACCACCACCACCTACTTTTCTCGTTGATCAGTATTATTTCCTTCTTCTGAGAAGAGATAATGCAGTAGAAAATTTTATTCTTGAAAGTGACCTCCCGCCTGAAGCCTAGAATGGTGAAGATGATCAGCGAGACGACGATGTCCATGGCCAGGCCGGCGTCTATCTGCGGCCAGGCAACTCGGGGCAGTATCTGGTGGGTGTAGAGGCGGTCACTTTCGAGCACACTTTTTACGCCGGTAATCGACTGCAGGGGAATGAAGCCGAAAATGCCATAAAGTGTGGTGTACAGCTGGAAGAAGGTGGCGAAGCCGGCGTGCAGGCGGACACTGCTGTAGAGACGTAAAGTCGATGAGGACAGCCTTTTACTTCGTTTCCCCAGGGTTTCGGATGATTCTTCCTCTGAAACCTCAAAGATGGGATTGAGCGATTGCTTGAGAAAGTGAAGGTGACCAGCGGCCAGGTGGCGTAAGGAGGACGCTGGGGCGGTCAACAGTTTGAGTAGGTTTTTCATAGTTTTTTTTAGTTTTTTTCTTTCTAATTGCTATTCAAAATTTAGGTAAATAAAAAAACTGTTCACTTTTAAGTTGTTTGCTTTAAAACTTTGCTTCTATTTGTAGTCGAAGCAAATTACGGCAATTTTGGCACGGTAAGTTTGCTTAGAAATTGCATAGAGAATCGTAAATTTAAAACAAAAGCGCCCCATTTTTAATCGTTTTTAAATTTGAAAAATACTTTGAATCATAAATTATCTCCCTATTTTGTTTTCAAAGTAGTTGTAGTTAAAAATTTTTTTTGACATAAAATTCAAACATTTTTGTTTTATTCAAATGAGCTTTGACGCTGCTTCAAATTAATTGAGATAAGTTTATAAGGATTTTTGAACTGGTATTGGATCAAACGATTGCCAGTTGACGCAAAAAGCTGGAACTGGAACGTCCAGCAAAATTTTGATAAATTTGCTTATGATTTACATGTTTTTCAGTATTTAAAAAATGCGTTAATTACAAACTAAAAATAAGTGCAATTCTACTAGTGTGTGTCAATTATGTTCTTTTTTGTTTTTAAAAATCCAGTTTGGAACATTATTTAAAAGTTTTTTAATTGCCTTCCTCTTGATTAGTACAAACAAGGAATAGTTAATTACACTTTCAGGACAGTTTTTTCTAATATCGCAAATGTTTTATTTAAAACAGTTAAATCGAGCCCTTCGTGCGCTAACACTAAAAGTTTATTTTATTCTAAAGGCTTTTTGCAGGAAAAAAGTCACATTTAATTTCCGTTTCCCAGCCATAAAATCAGCCAAAAGGGAAGCAAAAGCAATTCAAATGTAAAAACTTGTTTTCGGTTTGGTAAGATGAAAAGAAGAAGTAGAAAAGTAGAAAAGTAGATAGTTTTTAACATGAACCCAAAAGTTTGCTGCTGCTGGCAAGAATGTTACCACTTTGCAAAGAGTGGGCCACATAGCAAGCGAAAACTTTCTATGAGGCAGCGGAAAACCCATTTAAAAAGTTTTGCTCCTTTCAAAGGCTTTTCTTTTTCGTTGAAGCTGCAGTGTGTGTCTGTGCAAGTAATNTTTTCGGTTTGGTGAGGGGGGGAAAGAAGAAAGTAGAAAAGTAGAAAAGTAGATAGTTTTTAACATGAACCTAAAAGTTTGCTGTTGCTGCTGCCGGCAAGAATGTTACCACTTTGCAAAGAGTGGGCCACATAGCAAGCGAAAACTTTCTATGAGGCAGTAGAAAACCCATTTAAAAAGTTTTGCTCCTTTCAAAGGCTTTTCTTTTTCGTTGAAGCTGCAGTGTGTGTCTGTGCAAGTAATGGTAAGCCTGCAGCTGTCTGGGCAATAAAAACGAGAATGAGTGCTGGGAAGAGCTTAGCTGACAGCCTCTGCGCGGGGCAAATGTTCAAAAAGTTTGGCAATCTCAAACAGTTTTAGCAGACTGCGGCAAACTGGAAGGGTGAGAAGAAGAGGAAGAAAGTGAAGATATAATGACTGCCGGTCAAATGCCTATGAGTGATCACCGCTCTCATTAACTTAAAAAAGAAATCATCAGCTAAATTCTGATAGCATCACTTTGTTTAGACAACTTGATAATAAACGCTGATAATACTTTACTGAACTCCACTGATAGTAAAAAGTTGTTAACACAACTTAAAAACCATGATAATAAAAAATCAAACCCAAAATCAATTGCAACACCAATTGAAGCTACCCTAAAGTTCCAGCGAAAAAAATAATTAAAAAGTTCGATTAACTAATTAAAAAAAAGTAATTAAAAAATCCCAAAATTGGCTTTTGTTGATTCTGTGGAAATAGCAATTTGAAACTGCAGAAACTGCAGGTAGTGTCAGGCTTTTGGGAGAGCCATCCCCAAATCGAAAGCCCACCGATGGTAAGCCTAAGCCTCAGCCATCTTTTTTTCAGATAAGTCTCGCCATGCGGCAGCACTCATCCCCTGCCAACGAGCGTGCGAGGAAGGCGAGGAAGGCAGTAACGCAAAAAACCTGCACTTGGCAAACACAGAAACACACTGCAAAGGACAGCAGCGGCGGCAAAGGCAGCAGGAACACAACAAAAGCCTGAAAAGCCTCATTTGCTTTCCTCTACGCGCTTGTCGTGGTATTGCCTCGTATTCCCATCGTAGAGCCCATCCCATCCCATCCCATCCTGGCCAGCCAGTTCACTCCACTCCATTCCATCCCTGCCAGTCATCCCAGCCGCAATCCAAGCTCTCATGAGAGTGAGTTGGCTCATGTTCTATATGGCATGCCAGTGAGTGAGCTCTGTAACGAGGAACATCTGAACAAGCTGAACGCGGGAGACCACCACCGCGAAAGCTCACGTAGCCCTCGCTCTCTCTCTTTCACATAGCTGACATTTCAACCAGCCAGTCTACGTTCCTCATCACCACCGCCACACGTCAGCAGTTTCCGACGTTCACCATAAAATCCTCAGCTCCTCAGCAGTGAAGGAGAAGACGAAGCGACTCAGCAAGAAAATAGCACGAAGAGAGCGCATTGCACAGCACAGCACAGAGAGGAGAGAGGAGAAAAAAGCCCCACCAAAAAGCCTCAGTCCGGTTTGCCGTCATTGCCGTCGCTGCCACAGTGTTTTTCTTGAGCAGGCCAGACAGGCCAGGCCAGTGCAACTTTTATATCCTCCGCTACCATCTTTCTTTATTCCCACCACCGCAGCCGAGCAGCAGAAGCCAAGCACCACCATTACACTGCACAAAGGTTTTGCTCTCACGACGTCTCGTCTCTGGCTGAAGTGAGCCGAGCCAAGCCGAGAACGCACATTGGACGGAAAGACAGGCCAGGACACAGAAGAAGAAGAAGAGGACAGAAGTGAACAAGAGAAGAACACTCAACCGCTTTCGTGGAGACACAGCCGCAGCTCCTCGGCCATCCTCGATAGCAGCAGCTGCATTGCATTGCCTTTGCTTTGCCCATTGCTGCTCCCCTTACCACCGCTGTGTCTATGCTTCGCTGCCACTGGCTTCGGCAGTTCACTCACTGGTGCTGGTGGCCAAAACGCGGCAAACAAGGCAGCGACGACGGCTACGGCGAAGGCGAAGGCGAAGCCAGCAACGCATAAACAACAGCAGAAGTAGCAGCAGCAGCAGCAGCGGTGGAGGCAGAAACCTTTTGCCCGGAGCCTCTTTCCATCCTGTCGCCATCTTTATCCACAGACAGCAGCAGCAGGGGGACGCAGTTTGATGCTTCAAGACTGCTGCAGCAGCTGTCTTTGAACGTAGTTCTTACCCTCGTTGGTGACACCATCTGCAACTTCAACGGACTGCCCGCTTCTAAGTTCTATTTAGAAGCGTAGGTGGCAGGCCTCAACTTCATCCACATCTTCACCTCTTCAACGTCAACTACAACTTCACCTGCACCTGCACCATGGACGAACTCGACCTGGACGGCCTGGGCCCTGGACCGTTCGACAGCAAGGGCCACTACGGTTCTTCCTCAGTGCCCGGCGTCGACGACGACGACTTCCTGCCGCAGCACCACCCCGAGGACGATGACCCCTTCGGGCTGCTGTCGGGCCAGTACGAGCTCAACCCTGATGAGTACCTGCTGAACCAGGCTACCGGAGGAGGTGACGGTAATGGCGTCTGGAACAGTGCCGCCGATGACGACCCCTTTGGCGGCCCCTCCACTTCCGTTCACAGTGATAATCAAAACATCGAGGACCACAGTGGTCTTTTCACTGATAATGACCATCATCTGATGGCATCGACGGCCAACTTTGGCGACCAAGAAGATGAGGAGTTTGAGACGAGCAACTCGCCGCTGAAGCGCTCCCAAAGGGCTTCAGTGTCGATGATGAACTCCGGCGGTGATTATCATCTGTCGGTGAAGCAAGAGCCCGCCGAAGACGAGGATGAGCTGAACACTGCGGTGGCCCTTCAAAATGGTAAGCGGTGATGATCATCATTTCAGCAGTTTTATTGTCATCACCCTAACACTCCCTCTTTTTTCTTTGTTTACCAGAAAACACTCCAGCGGAAGCCAGCAGCAGCTCAGCAGCTCTCAACAATGACAACAACTCCACTGAAACTCGATCAAAAACCTCGGCACGTGATCAGCCAGAAAACACTTCCTCCAGCACAATTTCCACTACCACTACCACTACCACTACCACAACCTCTGATCCAAAAGAGAAGGCACCTTCCCGGGGCACCTTCTGGGACTACGAGTGCACCGTCTGCGGGCGTGGCTTCAAGCGCCGGGTGGCGCTGGAGCAGCACCAGCAGACGGCGCATGGCTACGGCGAGGCGGAGGACGACCCGACGAGTCACCTCGCCTCTGGCCGCAGTGCCCGCATCGCCGCCGCCGCCGCCGCCTACGAGGCCTCGAGCCACCACAACAGCAGCGGAAGCGGAAACGCCTCCTTTCGAAGTTCAGTACCCTCAACTTCAACTCCCACCACTCCTACCACCACCACCGGAAGAAGCCAACCCTTTCAGTGTCCGCACTGTCGGAAGGTGATTCGCAGCCGAGGCGCCCTCACCAATCACATTCGCTCCCATCAGCGGCGGGCCTTTGCCTGCGGCCGCTGCGACGCCT